CCGTCTGCATTTTCCAGCTCGTATGTGCAGGGGTGAATGGTAGGTGAAGTGAGTCACAATATAGTGCTTTTTATCCCCTCTCTTAAAAAGGCTGAGAGGTCATGAGTCTTCATTTCTGGGCTCATTGGAATACTATTACTAATTTTATTTTGTTTTTCAATTGGCATTTTTCTCAGTAGCTCTCTTTTTGGCCTGTTAGATGTTTACCTTTAACAATTCTGTATCATCTAGCTCTTGCCTAGAACGTCAAAAGACTTAGACATTCTGTTTGTTTGTTAGAAACAAGGTTTGATACTGCCTACTGGTTTTATAACAGGCACCTTCATATTCTAGTAATCAATGAGAGATTGTTGTTGTTGTTGTTGTTGTTGTTTTAACAGCGCCATACCTTCCAAGGACTTTCCCCAAAGAAAATCATTACCAGTCACTTTACTTACTGAGGGACAGATTATAGGGAGGCTCCATCTCTCAAAAGACTTCTCTGTCCTTTCATTGTTGAGTTCACAGACGGGAGGAAAGTCTCCTTATAGATGTGCAGCTAGCTTCGAGTTCTGTGGGTGGGCCTGTGTATGCTGTTTGCCTAGCCCTGCCAGCAGACATCGTTACTGAGATGTTGTCCTCTCCACTCTTCTCTTCATCTGACTATGTTCTAGTATCCATACAGGAGAGAGAACAGCTGAATTGCTTGTTTCACAGGATGGTCTTGATCCAATCAGAGAACATGGTAGCACTCTAAGTTGTAAAGCACATTGCAAATATTATTTTCCTAGGGATCTTCAAATTTGGCAGACTTAGTAAATATCCTGGCAAAAAGTGTGGGAACTTACTTAATGCTAGGTCTCTTTGGCTACAACATTGTGATAAGCCTTAGGAAGACTTGCCCCCAAGTAAGATAACAAGATTCCATTATGGTTAAGAGGGCAGCATCCTAGGTTTATATTCAGTCTCCTCAGTTACTAGCTCAGATGAGTAACTCTTGGGCCATTATAGATAATGAATGCATATAATGCTTGGAACCCTGGTGGCACAGTGGTTAAGCACTAACTAGTTAAGCAGCTGCTAACTGATCCACAACGGCTCCTCAGGAGATCAGCCATGACAATCTGCTGTCATAAGGATTTCACCCTGGGAAATTCTATAGGGCCGTTGTGCATGGCCCTGTCGAGTTGCTGTGACTTAGAGTTGACTTGATGCCACACACCACCACCTACAACCTGCTTGGGATGGTCTGGCACCCAGTGAGCATGCTCAGTGATTATTGTTAGGTGCTTCAATGTGCCTGGTTGAACACATGGATTTCACTCCCTTCCAAAAAGTCCATAAAATAATGGTAGATTGTTTTTTGTTTGTTTGAGAGCTGAATTGCTTATTGATTGAAAACAAAACAAATGGGTCATTGATAGCTGCATTACAAGAAAGATCATCTGTTCTTGCTTCTAAGTACAGGAGAGCCACAGCTTAAAACATTTGTTTGTTTGTTTTTCCTACTGCTTTCCAAGAATAAATAAGATGTTTCTAAGAATTGATAAAATATTTAGGACGAGATTTTTTTTTTTAAGGTCAAGAAAAGAAAGGAACACACAAGAGGAGATGTTGGGAAAACCGAGAAGTAGGAACTGACCAGAAAAGGCTTCAAAAAAGGTTAGGTACAGGCCGTTTTGTACACAGCATTTCAGAAACGCTCAGAGTTACAGTCTCTCTAGATAGGTAGGTAGGTAGGTACTTCTGACATGGAGGTTGCAGGTGGTGCTTCAAAAGTGAGAATTGTTTGAAAGTCTAGGAAAGAGAGTTGAACCCACGGGTCACTTTCTCTATACCACACAGTAGAGATTACCCTTCTACTCTGGTGGAATATTAGCGGTTGAACTGAAGAGACTTAACTGGAGACATGGTGCAGAGATAAGGGCAGGAGCCATACTGAAAACAGTGAGTCCCTCTAGCCTGCTTCGTGAATTTTACTCAGGAATATTGCTTTAGGGAAAAAAAAAAATGAAAAAAAAAACCTCATTGTCATTCACTCGATTCTGACTCACAGCAACCCTGTAGGACCAAAAGGAATATAAACCCTGTGGGCTTCCAAGATTGCAACTCTTTACAGGAGTGGAAAGCCTTGTCTTTGTCTCCTATTGAGTGAATGGTGGTTTCAAATTGCTGCCTTTGTGGTTAGCATGCCCAACGCTTTACTCACTGGACCAGATAGCTGGGTTCACACCCCTTTGGGGAAGCTGATCTAAGTTATATGCTTGCCTGGTCATCCCACATTGAAATACGTAATTATTAATATTTGTTTGTTTAATGATAATTTTCAGGAAGGAAAAACATGTAGTAAAACTACCTACTATCAAAAGTGGTAGTAGTTAAAAATATTTTGTCAAACTTGGGGGTCATCAAGGATTAAGATTTCTGAGTTAATCTAGAACAGTTGGCCCTCTTATATACCCTTATGGCAATGTTCTGTCATGAAGTTTGGCACCTTTTCAGTAATTATATACTTTTGATGACATAAATGATTTGGAACATGTTAGGGGCAATAGCAAATAACAACAGTAAAGCTACACGCATCTTTCCCACCATGCCACTCCACTGTCCTGTGTAAGTAAAGGACGACTGTGACTTCATTGTTACGTATCTGGCTGCTAACCACAAGGTCAGCTGTTTGAAACCCTCAGTCGCTCCTCGGGGTTAGAAAGACGAGGCTTCTCCTCCCGGAAAGAGTTACAGTCCCCACAGCTTCCACCAGGGTGGTTTACTCTGCCCTATAGTGTCGGGTCGGCGTGATGGCAGTTGAGTGTTTGAGTTTATAGCCAAAGACTGACAGTGAATCTTGCTGCCTTTTCAGCTGACAGAAAACAAGCAAGGAGTGACGCTTCTTCTTAGAAACACTACTGTATTTATCCAAAGGGACAATTAGATTTTTTTTCTTTCCTCAAAAAAGAACCCTTTTTATACAACTATGAGAGTTCTTGAATACTGGGAGGAAAAGAAGTCCAACCCTTAAATCACAGGCACAGCAAAGTTGGCTAACCAAGGGCACTCCACAGATTCTATTCGACTCTCAGATTGGTCTGTGCAGTAACTGCAGGAAAAGCCCAATCACTTGGCACTGCCTCTGGACGAAAGAAAGAAAGAAAACAGGGCAGGAAGGAAGAGTATTAAAAATACCTGCATCTACTCTTAGCACCACTCTGTCACTCTGTTCAAGCAGATAGTTCTGAACTTCGTAAGCTAGGGGCTTGCGTGCTGCCTTGGGCCACTTAGAAAGCATTAACAGCATTGGGAGAAAACTCTCCTGTGTTCAGAATACCTGTAGTGGAAGGGATGCCTGAGTTTGTTTTTAAAAGACAATTAACTTCAGGTAGGTAGAGACCACTTTTTATTGTCTTCAATCTCGAGTATTTAAATTACCACCACCCCCAAGGTGAGGCCAGCATTGCTCATGTATTGCAGACATAGGAATAGTCTGAGTGTTATATATTGTAAGTATCTATAGCATGGCTGATTTGTTATCCTGGTGTTTTTAAAAGATGTTGATTTTCATACTTGTCTAGTCTATAGATGGACCCTTAAGTATTCTATCTATGCATGCCAGTTTTAACATTTTTAGAAAAGTTTATGCTTGTGCTTAATAAGGCTTCTCTCCTAGTGAGGCTGGGCATAACCCCTTTAGCCCTGCCAAGCATTGCCTTAAGCAGAGCAGTAGTACAGCTCTGAGATCATCCGCTGTCCTCTCAAGTCCCTCTCATTCTGGGTAACCGTTCACCATCACTTGGTAGATTTCAGTTCATTCTGTGGACTAACTTTGTTTTATTAGTGTCTTATGGCGCCATCTACTGACACAAATAGGGAATCAAGGTCAAAGAGTTGGATGAAAGACTCAAGTGTAGGCATGCCTCAGATCCTACAGGTTTGGTTCCAGACCCACTGCCAAAGTGAGTCACACTAATATTTTGGTTTACCAGTGCATATAAAAGTTACACCTGCCCTGTACTGTTGTCTATTAAATGTGCAATAATAGCATTGTGAGAAATAGAATTGCCAAATTCTGATAGAGACACAAAATGAGTACATGCTGTTGGGAAAATTGCTGATAGACTTGTTCAATTCAGGGTTGCCACAAACCTTGATTTGTAAAAAACACAATATCTGCCAAGTGCAATGAAGTAAGGTATGCCTGTGTATATACAGAGAACTAGAATTTTAACATTAGAAAAACTGTTGAGGATGTCCACTCCAATGGTGTGTTTTTCAAACACATAAACTCAGGTTATTATCTGTGATTATCGCCACACACACAACACACTAGTTTTCCAAATTACTGCAGTACCCCAGTTCAGAGAACTTCGTCATTTTTTCAGTCTTAAAAGTAGATTGCTTACACCAGCCTGTGTGTATCAAGCTGGGATCAGGTATCAGGCATCAAAGAACAAAAAAATCATACCATTGTGAATGAGGGGGAGTGTGGAGTGGAGACCCAAAGCCTATCTGTAGGCAACTGTACATCCCCTTACAGAAAGGTCTCGGGGAGGCGACAAGCCAGTCAGGGTGCAGTGTAGCAATGATGAAACATACAACTTTCCTCTAGTTCTTTAATGCTTCCTCCCCACCACCATCATGATCCCAATTCTACCCTACAAATCTGGCTAGAACAGATAAGAACTGGAAACGCAGGGAATCCAGGACAGAAGCCCCTCAGGACCAATAATGAGAGTAGCGATACCAGGAGGGAGGGTAAGGGGAATATGGGGTAGAAAGGGGGAACCGATCACAAGGATCTACCTATAAACACCTCCCTGGGGGAGGGACAACAGAAAAGTGGATGAAGGGAGATGTCAGTCAGTGTAAAATGTAACAAAATAATAATTTATAAATTATCAAGGGTTCATGAGGGAGGGGGGAGGGAGGGGAAAAATGAACTGATACCAAGGGCTGAAGTAGAAAGCACATGTTTTGAAGATGATGGCAACAAATGTACAAATGTGCTTGACACGATGGATGTATGGATCGTGATATGAGTTGTATGAGCCCCCCAATAAAATGATTTTTTAAAAGTAGATTATGAAATAATATAAGTAGAATAGGGATTAACAATAAATTTATGAGCTGTAAGCACATGATGGTATTCGATAAAAACTAATGAACGTACCACCAGAGGACTCAACAGATGATGTTTGTATGGAAGAATGTCATGTAATGTATACACCTACAAAGGAAAATTAAACTAAATGTTTAATAAATTCGATAAGCTATTTCCACAGTAAAAAGTCATAATAAAATGGAAACTACACAGAATAAGGAGAGGGGTCAAAAGATTGTACATATGTTAAAGATGATTGCTTTCCTTTCTTTTTGTATTTATTGCTTTTTCTTTTTTTGTGTGATTGGGTTCAGTCTAATATAACACTTTAAGTACCATGCTTTTTGATGACGGGTGTATTGGGAGAGTTCTTTAATTAGAGTGAGTATGAAAGTTTCAAATGGATATGAAGAGTAAGGTTTTGCTGTGAAATGAAGCGGGGCTGTTTTGTGAATGAACTTTGCTAGCTGAATGTATCTGACACCTGTGTAGGTTGTCTATGAAGGTGAACAGGGATGTGTTTGATACAAGCAGTGTACGTTATTGAAGTCATCTATGACATCCTGTTTTCTCCCCATCCCAATGTTTACCTAGCCTAGAAGAGTGTGCTCTAATACCCTTTTTGTTTCCCTGATCATTTTAGCAGCGTCACCCTACACACCAGAAAGCTGGCGGGCACTATGGGGAAAAAACAAAACAAGAAGAAAGTGGAAGAGGTGCTAGAAGAAGAGGAAGAGGAATATGTGGTGGAAAAAGTTCTCGACCGCCGAGTAGTAAAGGGCAAAGTAGAATACCTCCTAAAGTGGAAGGGCTTCTCAGAGTAAGTGCCATTGCCATGGGTAGACCCATTAATTACTAAAAAGAGAACTTCACTGGCCAGCCATTGGATACAGACTCCAACCAACCCTACAGCACTGGCTAGGGCTGCCCCAAGTGGGTTTCCAAGGCTGTCGGTCTTTACAGAGCAGAAAGGAAACCTCCTGTGTCTCCCACCCAGTGGTTGCTGGGTTCCAACTACTGACTTTTCTGATAGGAGCCCAACTGGTAACCCTCTAGGACACCAAGGCTCCCTGGGGCCATCCATTTAGTTGCTAAATATTTATGAGCAGTCTAGGATACTATGATGGAAATAACGTGATTTGCTTCTGGCCTTAATGGTTTATAGTCTTTCAGGAAAGTAACCTACATGCACAAACGACTCCCAGACATAATGTGATTTCTGAGAGCATTTCTGGTTGTGGCTTTAGATACATCTCAATTTGAAAGAGAGTAATTATCCTTTGAGGGAGGCCAATTTTTTTCTGTGCTTTCAATTTGTACTAAAAACTCTCCAAGCAGTTTCAGCTTTTCCAAATTCTTGGTCTTCGATAAGATGTAGCTACAAAGACTGAGTAGAAAGTGTGACTCCCTGTGTCTGGTTTCAGTGAGGACAACACGTGGGAGCCTGAAGAGAACCTGGATTGTCCTGACCTTATTGCTGAGTTTCTGCAGTCACAGAAAACTGCGCATGAGACAGATAAGTCAGAGGGAGGCAAGCGCAAAGCTGACTCTGACTCAGAAGATAAGGGGGAGGAGAGTAAACCAAAGAAGAAGAAAGAAGAGGTAAGACTAGAAGTCGGAATTTTACTAAGCCCAGAGGTTTGCACGGCTGTCAAAGAACCTGAAGGCCAAATAATTTCAGCTATTCTGTGGTGCTGCTTCTTGGCTCTCAGCAGTCATCTGTCTCCTCCCAGTTCTCCAGGAATCTCACACAAGCTGATGATTACCAAGTTTTGGGGGGCGCTGAGTGTAAGGGAGCCAGATAACCTGCTTTTACGCTTTATCTGTGGCACACTGGGAACAAACAATCACAAATAATTGTATTTCTGTACATATTTTTAAATGCTTCCATCATTAGAGGGGCGAGGTAGACATTTTGACTTATTCAACACCTTAAAGTCGGTTGTCTTCAGGGTAGAGACTCTGAATTTTTTTTTTTTTGCTTGAGATGTATGTCCCTTTTTATATGCGAAAACCCCAGGCACTTCAGACCTGGGTAGAATAATCACTCAGGAGACAAGTTACTGAAGTATTGGCTAGAGTTTATGATTCCATTAACTAAAACAGGAATAGCTCCAGTCTGGACAAGAGACCCATATAAAATGGTTCTACCCATTTGGTTTTTGCAGTCGGAAAAGCCACGAGGCTTTGCCCGGGGTTTGGAGCCAGAGCGGATTATTGGAGCTACAGACTCCAGTGGAGAACTCATGTTCCTGATGAAATGGTGAGTCTGCCTGTGGCTCTGTGGAGTTGTGTTTTTCTTCTTCCCGTCTGTTCCATGCCAGAGGAAACGAGCTGGACCTGGGAAATTCCATTCGCCCAAGTATGAAATCTTTAAGATGGCATAGTCCTTCAATAGTGACCCTCGGCCTGACTGCCAACTTGGACTCGTGAGTTACAGGTAGGGGCCCTTAGGACTCTCAGACATTTGCCCGTTTTGGTTTTTTGTTGTTGTTGTTTTTTTTAGAAGGTGGGAGAAAATCTAGAAAGGAGAAGGTATGGGGAGGAGTCACATTTCTTTTCTGTGACTGAAAGGAAAAAATGTGATTAGACCACCCTCCCCTTCTACCACCTCCTTAAAGATCAGGCTGGCCCCAGGAGATTATGTTAACTTCTCAGGGTTTGGAACTAATTTTAATAGCACTTCCATTGTCCTTGATTGTTAGATCCTTTCCAATTCATGCAGATTCTATTCCAGAATCAGCCAGCAGGGGTCAGTAGGGCCTTTTCCTATTAAGGAATAACAGAACCAACCGGACTACTTTTTCCATTGCAGCTCCTCTTCACTCACTACTATCTTGCTATCCTACATTTCTTATTTATGACAGCTCTGGAAAATTCTCAGTGCCTCTGATGGTATGAACCTCACGCAAGGCCATGGCTGAGCCTAGGGAATCCCCCACAGGTCACCATGAATGGTACATCAGAAGTCCTGGCAACAACCAGGCCATACAAGGGATAGTGGGCAGGCTGAACAAAGGTGCCAGGGAGGTGAGTGAGGGGAGGAGAGGAAAAGTGGTCACACACTGCTGGGTAGGCAGAAGATGATGAGCAGGGTCTGTCCATATCCCAGGTGGGTTCTGGGTGGCAGCAGGGACACTTGCTGGCAGGCAGTGGGCAACAGCTAATGACCACTGCCCTCTTACAGGCGCACTGGTGGTGGGGAAGGGCATAGTGGAAAAAGGGGTGGGGTGGGTTATCAGCCTGGAAGAAATGGTATTGCCCTCAACTGTCACCCCATTCTGATGTAGCATAATAGCCTGGTCTTTGGAACCTAACTGTACCAGAGATAGTAGCACCCTATGAAGCAGCTTCATAATGACTGTTATCGTGAGGTTGTAATTCACCCCAGATTCTCTGTCATTTCCTTACTTGAGTTCGGAAGCTTTCCTTTCTCTTGTTTGTTGAAAGATACTTGTGCTTCCCTCCCCATCCTTTTTTCAAAATGAATCTCAATCATTACAATATAAGTTAAGAGTGAATAATTCTAAGCCTTTGCAATGAAGGCAGCATTGTGAGTCTAGAACTGTGAAACATATCTACTCATTCCTCTCCTTTAGTAAATGACCTGAGAGACATAACTTTAGCACCACTGGAAGCCTGTATCACAGCTAGCTAGTCCTCTGTTTTCTTCCTGTGAATTCTTTAACTACATAAGGAGCCTGGTGGCAATGTTCGGTAAGCATTGGACCGCTAACCGCAAGGTCAGCAATTCAAATCTACCAGCTGCTCCAAGGGAGAAGAATGAGGCTGTTTATTCCTATAAAGATTTACAGTCTCAGAAACTCTATATAGGGTCGCTATGAGCTGGAATCCACCAATGGCAGGAAGTTTTTTGTTTACCAAATCTGACTTTTGGGGGCTGATTTATTGCTAGTCTGTAGGAGAAATTTTCACTTTTAAGGAGCTGTGTATGGGTGGAAATAATTGATACTAGGAATTATTCAACTCAGCTGTAATGTACTTTCTTGGTCTGCATGTGACTAGGCTGAGTTACTATAATATCTTCTTCTTGCTTAGAATTTTACTTTTGTGGTAATTCACTGCTTGTGCAATGATTATAGCTGTGTATAACTCTAAAATTGAAGATTGGACATTGATTACAAAACTCAAGCTTATTATTTTGAAAAGTATTTTTCTTGGAGAGTGGCAGTACCTGTCTGTTTCTAAGTGTAGCAAACACCTCTGTGCATTGAAATGATTGGGTGCTATTGAATTATGAACAAAAAGCCACTTGCTTCAGAGCCCCTTGCGATCACAGGCTTTTCCTTACCATTTTGGGTCCATTGCTCATCCCACATATGTTTATTGCCACTTTCTGGTTCAGTGGGGCTGTGTGGCTCTGATTACCTGTTGCTAGAGGTTTGGGATGCCTTGTGCTGCTGTTTCCATCTAGGATGTCCCCAGGGCTTGAAGATAGAGCTTAATTTCCTTGATCCCCTTGTGTGTGTGATTTTCAAACTTTGAGGGCATTTTAAAATCAGAAAATATTAAGCACCAGGTCTGAGCTCGGGGTTTGTATCACATTCATGTGAACATGGCACTTGGTGTAGTGTTCCATAGTGTGATGTGAAGAAGCCAGAAGCCGTCTTCCTGCCTTGGCTCAAACTACATACAGCTAGGATTAACTCCTACTCCAGAGCCATGGGATATGGAATTGTGAAGCCACCTCTCCTCTTCCCTCATAGAATCTAAAGAATTGTGCTTCGTGTGTGTGTGGGGGGGGGAATGAAGGTGAACTTCCTAGAAGTTAAATGTAATGGATTGAACCAGGTGACCTGAAATTTTGACAAAGGTCCCAAGGGGAACTTAAGAGAAGGTCCCAGAAATGTCACTTGACTCCAAGCTGTTATCTGTCACCCTTCTCTAGCCTCACTTCTGGAGAAAGCCCTGCCCCTGGGTGATCCAAGGGAGGAGACTACTAGCACCGGGTCTCAAAAATCTCTCTCTGCTTCATTCTGCAGGAAAAATTCTGATGAGGCCGACCTAGTCCCTGCCAAGGAAGCCAATGTCAAGTGCCCACAGGTTGTCATATCCTTCTATGAGGAAAGGCTGACGTGGCATTCCTACCCCTCAGAGGATGATGACAAGAAAGATGACAAGAACTAACTCACATGACTGTGGGTTTACAGAGGGGAGGGGAGGAGTTCTACTTGTCCTGACACCATAGAAGTGGCTTGAGAAAATGTCCTTTGAAGAGCCAGTATAGTTTCTGTGCCCTGCAGCAAGCAGCCGAGTGCTTTCGAGCTGCCCCATGCTGTAGAGAGCGCACACCCATCCCAGTGCAGGGGAAGCAGATAAGTGTTCCAAGGCAACCCGTTCTGCACTTTGCTGAGAAACGCAAAGGCCTTCTATGAAGGACAAAGCTTGCAGAGTGGATATGTGTGGGGAGCAAAGAAATAACTCTAGATCTTCAGAGAGCATCCCCACAACCCCCAGCCTTCTTCCCAATAGTGTTAACTCTGCATTTTTACAGCGTAGCATGTGTGTCATTTTTGGCTATAACTGGTGTATTATTTGGGACTGGGAGGGTGGGTGGGAAAGAGGGAGATGGGTAGGATCAATTTTGTTAAAAGCTGGGGCCTGATTGGGGAAATGGTGAAACAATAGAAAGAGCAAACATCTACTGATTTGGTTCTGTGTCCAGAATGTATACCCTTTGAAAGTTTTTAAAAGTCATTGGCAACATAAATGGGGCCCAAAACTTGTAGAAACCAAGGTGTTCCCTGCCTGAGCTTAATGCCGCCCTACAAAGGACGTGACTAGTAGTATGTGAGCAAAGCCACCATTTTGGGATGGAAGCTGACTGAGAGGGGACATTTTTTATTGGAGAGTCTATACAAGCAGGTAGTTCTACCTCAGAGGTGCTAATTCTTAAATGGACAAGAAGACCTTTTCTGTTCCAGTAAGTCATAAATAACAGTTTGTGCCATCCAGGCTTCTGGCTGAGCGCTTTGGGGGGGGGGGGGGGTAGAGGAGAGGAGAAGAGGAGAAGAGGGAGAGCAAGGGCCCTTGCATGCTCAGGGGGAGAACACTCTTGGAGCCCCTCTGTCTTTGAACTCTGAAACCATTGGTGTCAGAGTCCAATCACTAACAGCACAAATTTCACTGAATTAATTCATCAGTGGAAAGATTTTGAAAGCCCTAGTCTCAGGAGTAAATTTTCACACTGGGCCAGTGGTTCACTTTAAATTAAAAAAAAAGAAAAACGTTTTTAATCCTAAGAATTAACTGGTACCCAAAATGCTTTGTCTGAATCATGAGATTCATCAGTTTTTGACATCTAGAGCTGCTTTCAGGCATGTGTTAGGTTTCTGGGAAAACTTTGTTTAAATGTAAACTTCATACTACCCTGTTGATTTTTGTCTTAATAAAATTATAGATTTCTAATCCCTGGTGTGTGTCTTAAGTCCTGCCAGAAGTCTTTGTCGCCCACTGTAGTCATCCCAGTTTAGCCGCTACTGGAAACAGCTGCTACTTGGTTTTCTTTATTGGACACTACAAGCTTGAAAATCTGGTTGCTGACTTGAATCTGCAGTGATACTGCCATAATAATTTAGTAAATATGTATCAAGCATTTTTAATTTCTCTGCAGATTGGGAAGATAATCCCTTCATGGTCAGAGTTTATTGGGTGTTCTGTGACCTAATAGCACTGCAGACAGTGTTGTACTTGAAAACATGGGTATTTGAGTTGGGTTTAAATCCTATCTTTGGTATTTCATGGGTCTAATCTTGGCTAAAACCAACTTCTGAGCTGTGTCTGCCATATCTAAAAATACAGAGTTGAGAATTAACACAAGACCAGTGTAGGAGTGCCTAGCCTAATCCTAGCACAAAGTAGTCAGCTATTATTAAGAATATTCTCACTGCTACCAAGTCTTCTGACTCACAGTGACCCTATAGTTCAGGGTAGAATTTATTTCCCACCCCCTTGAGTGTCCCAGGCTGTAATTCTACAGGAGTAGAAAGCCTCCATCTTGTTCTCCTTGAGAGCCGCGTGATTTTGAGCTGCTGTCCTTGAGGTTAGCTGCCCATTGCGTAACCCACTAGGCCACCAGGGCTCTTTAAGAATGTTCTAGTCATGAAAATCTTTAATAAGATGACCTATCTTTGCAATCTGTGGAGCAACTATAAATGCCTGCTAAAGTGAAAGATTTAAGTAACCGACCTTTCCAGAAATTTTAGAAATTGGTCCCATGTTTAAGCACTGAGTTAACATGATTTTCCTTTTCTGCCTATTACCTAGAGGCGAATGGGATCAAATTTTTGTCATTCACTAAAAAAAGAAAAATGGTGTTCTTAGTATAACAATTGAACTCTAATCATCAATGCCAAATATAAAGCATTTGTTTCAGATAAGCTGATGTACAGATACTTTTTCCAAAA